TTAAACTGAGACCTTTGTATTCAGATTATTACACTGTGGGAAAAAATGAGTTGCAAGTTTGACCGTGCTTCCTTAAAGTGACTCCTTAACCCGCTTTAAAGGGACATTGAGTGTTTTTTTTCTTTGTGGAGTAAAAAAATATATAATATATATAATATTTCTTAATGGAGTAAAAAAATATATAATAATAATAAAATAAAGAGAATACGACTTTAAGACAAGTCATTTGACTATATATATATGTTTTAAAAATTCTTTGTTTCCATCCATGACAAATCAGATAGATCTACAGTATAACCTGGGATGAGGTTTGGTCAAATGTGTGGCCTTCATACCAGTTGTCAGTCAACCCAGATGAGGGGTTTTGGCACGAGGACCATATCAAACCTACAGTGCTGACAAACTTCTGTGGCTTCTCTTATTTTTGCATGATTTGCCCTTAGACAAAGTTTTCCTTAGCTGCAGTGATCTTGATCTCGAAGCAAATTTCAACTGACAATGAGACCCAACCACACGGAATGTTTGGTGCCAGAGGTTGAGCACAGCGGTTACAAATTTACAGTCGGGGATGTTTAAATATAAGGGAACTGAACTTGAGTTCACATTGAAGCTGAGCCGGTTTATTGGATCAAGTAGAGAAATAAATGTAACGTTGAACTGCATTTATGGTGAGCTTCTAATTAAAGTGAGGTAAGTGTCCTCTGGTGTTAGGTACGCACTGAGCATGCGTCAGTTTGTCTAGTATGTACTTTTTTAGCCTAGGCAGCAAAAGTGAATGAAAGATTTTTTTCTTTATTTTTTTTCTCTTTGGCGGTGGGGGGTTGGAGAGGGAAACAGGAGTTTGCAGAACTAGATCTTTTAACCTGTCCCAGTAACATCTGGCTAATAAAAACAAGAATGCTCTGGGCTGTGTTTTACTGCTTATGGGACCACTTTACTTTTTCCATATGCTCGTGCAGAGATACTAACCCTCACCGATCTGTGTTTTGCAGACTTCTCCTCTGCTCCACTCCAAACTCGGTGACACTCTGCAGATTGCACCGAGGAGCGTGTGCACAGACGTGTGTTGGCCTCTGGCAGGCCTTCACACCTCGGTGCTGTGCTGTGGATCCATGTGCCTTGGATCCGCCGTGTTCCCTGTTTCCAGAGCAGGAGAACAGTTTCTCATGCTGATGGTGAACAGCGTGACACGGTTGCTCTGTGCGACTGTGTCGTTGCGTATGTGCGTGTGCGCGCTCATGCACTCTATGTGCAAGCAGCCCAATGTCACCTTGACCATAATCTACAAGAGGCACCGAGGGCGCGCTGCTACAGCGCAGGGAAGAGGAAGAGAGAGGGAGCGAAAGGTAGCCGCGTGGCTCCGAGAGAGAAAGAGAGAGAGAGAGAGAGAGTGTGTGTGCGCGGAAAAACCAAATGTGTGTGTGAGTGAGTGAGGGAGAGAGAAAGAGAGTGAGGGAGGCAAACTGAGGTGGGTACAGCTCTCTCAGACAGCACAGTTGTGGAGGATCCTTCTTCACATCCATGCAGAGCGGCGCAGAGATGTCAGGCACATCACACACAGGTGGGTCACAGAGCAGCCGGGAAGACAGGTGAGACAAACCAGGGGGCGTGTGTCTCATGCTTCCGCTGTAAGCATGGAAGTATTTATTTTACATTGTGGTCATCTAGGTCGACTTGGAATTCTGACTTTTTTATTTTTTATATATTTTCTTTAATTGACGATGGATGGTGGGCAGGCCGGCAGGGATACAGAGGTGTTCAGTCTGACCTGGGGGGTCATCATATTTGTGCAGGTGCTTTGAAAAAACAAAACAAAAATATTTACAATTTTCTGAACCTTTAGGGTTTATAACGAGATATGAGCACAAAATAATAAACAACAAATAATTCAACACTCAGCGCAAGCACCTCTTTAATGTTGACTGGTGGTTAATGACGTGTAACTGTGAAGCAGGGAGACAGAGCTCCCTTTCTGCAGATGTCAGGTGAGTGTGAGGTCCCACAGCCTGCTGACAGGCAGCACCGCAGCTCCAGACAGCCGCAGCAGGACCTTCAGACTCCCCTTCAGCCATCACTGCATTTGCCGGCGCTCTAATAGAGAAGCACACCGCCACATCCTGCCCCCTCCGTTATGTGACTCCACCGCCGGGTGAATACATCCATGTCCTTTTCTTTTTGCCGGAGAAATGAGTTCTCGGCCAATCACTACTCAGAGGGGGCGTCCCTCTCACTCCCACTTCGATTTCAAGCTTTCTCTCTCACGATGCCTTCAAGTGCCATCGGAAATGCCACCATTTTTGCATGTAAAGCGTTTTAATTTGACGTGGACGAGTTACCGTTTGCTCAGAACGTTATTTAAAACTAGTCACTTCTCTTAGGATTCTTTATTTTACACTTGTGATAATGGAGTGTTGTAAAATAATAAAAATAAAATAGTGTTAATTGGCATAAGATCCTCATCCGAGAACACATGTTCAAGTAAACATGGGCGTGTCCAAAAACATTTTAATATAAACTTATATTTTTCTAAACAAATAAAATAAATTAGAACCAGATTTTCCTCTGCCTCCCCTAAGATCAACACAATAACAAAGCCTACAGTGAAGGTGCATTCAATGTTGTTTTATATAAATCTGATCTGGTTTTGTGTTCAAAACTTTAATAGATCAAAAATGAATTTATGTTTGAGGAAAACAGTATTTTATCTCTGGTTGTTAGAAGGACACCTGCTGGCCAAAGTGAAACAACTTCAGGAAATACCAACAACATTGTAGTCAACCTTTAATTGTGAGCATTTTTTTTTACCACAAATTAAATCAATCAAAAATCCCCAACCCAAATAATTGTGCGTTTGAATTTTATGTCAATAAAAAGTTTTAATATTTTAATAGTAGTAAAGTTTAATCTACTTTTTAATTATTAAAAAAATTCGACTATTCTACTATCAGTAGAGCAAACAGAATATAAAATAGAAATCATTTTTAGTGAAAACACTAATGTTCAACCCGTTTCTGCACTTAGGAGTGCGTTTCTAAAAAGGTTTTCGCCTGATCTGCTAGTTTCCGAGTTTAAACCCAGTGCCTGAAGGCATCGCTGGGCCCTGTGACGTCAGCAGCTCCACTGCGCTCCCTCCAGCAGCCAGTCAGAGAAGTGATGCTCTGAACGCTAGACTGCAGCATCTTTACCAGCGACACACCGAGCAGCAGATATATCTTTCTCTGTGTTCGTGCGTGTTCGTCTTCACCCACACCCCGTCCTCCCTGGGTGTCTTCAGGAGCCGAACCCCGGACCGGATAACACCAAATATCAACCTGACTTTTTCCCCCTATCGGATTTTTTCACCCCTTCTTCTGCTTTTATTCTTGCTCCGAGGGAGAGAGAAAGAGAGTGAGGGAGGCAAACTGAGGTGGGTACAGCTCTCTCAGACAGCACAGTTGTGGAGGATCCTTCTTCACATCCATGCAGAGCGGCGCAGAGATGTCAGGCACATCACACACAGGTGGGTCACAGAGCAGCCGGGAAGACAGGTGAGACAAACCAGGGGGCGTGTGTCTCATGCTTCCGCTGTAAGCATGGAAGTATTTATTTTACATTGTGGTCATCTAGGTCGACTTGGAATTCTGACTTTTTTATTTTTTATATATTTTCTTTAATTGACGATGGATGGTGGGCAGGCCGGCAGGGACACAGAGGTGTTCAGTCTGACCTGGGGGGTCATCATATTTGTGCAGGTGCTTTGAAAAAACAAAACAAAAATATTTACAATTTTCTGAACCTTTAGGGTTTATAACGAGATATGAGCACAAAATAATAAACAACAAATAATTCAACACTCAGCGCAAGCACCTCTTTAATGTTGACTGGTGGTTAATGACGTGTAACTGTGAAGCAGGGAGACAGAGCTCCCTTTCTGCAGATGTCAGGTGAGTGTGAGGTCCCACAGCCTGCTGACAGGCAGCACCGCAGCTCCAGACAGCCGCAGCAGGACCTTCAGACTCCCCTTCAGCCATCACTGCATTTGCCGGCGCTCTAATAGAGAAGCACACCGCCACATCCTGCCCCCTCCGTTATGTGACTCCACCGCCGGGTGAATACATCCATGTCCTTTTCTTTTTGCCGGAGAAATGAGTTCTCGGCCAATCACTACTCAGAGGGGGCGTCCCTCTCACTCCCACTTCGATTTCAAGCTTTCTCTCTCACGATGCCTTCAAGTGCCATCGGAAATGCCACCATTTTTGCATGTAAAGCGTTTTAATTTGACGTGGACGAGTTACCGTTTGCTCAGAACGTTATTTAAAACTAGTCACTTCTCTTAGGATTCTTTATTTTACACTTGTGATAATGGAGTTTTGTAAAATAATAAAAATAAAATAGTGTTAATTGGCATTAAGATCCTCATCCGAGCACAGATGTTCAAGTAAACATGGGCGTGTCCAAAAACATTTTAATATAAACTTATATTTTTCTAAAAAAATAAAATAAATTAGAACCAGAGTTCCCTCTGCCTCCCCTAAGATCAACACAATAACAAAGCCTACAGTGAAGGTGCATTCAATGTTGTTTTATATAAATCTGATCTGGTTTTGTGTTCAAAACTTTAATAGATCAAAAATGAATTTATGTTTGAGGAAAACAGTATTTTATCTCTGGTTGTTAGAAGGACACCTGCTGGCCAAAGTGAAACAACTTCAGGAAATACCAACAACATTGTAGTCAACCTTTAATTGTGAGCATTTTTTTTACCACAAATTAAATCCAATCAAAAATCCCCAACCCAAATAATTGTGCGTTTGAATTTTATGTCAATAAAAAGTTTTAATATTTTAATAGTAGTAAAGTTTAATCTACTTTTTAATTATTAAAAAATATTTCGACTATTCTACTATCAGTAGAGCAAACAGAATATAAAATAGAAATCATTTTTAGTGAAAACACTAATGTTCAACCCGTTTCTGCACTTAGGAGTGCGTTTCTAAAAAGGTTTTCGCCTGATCTGCTAGTTTCCGAGTTTAAACTCAGTGCCTGAAGGCATCGCTGGGCCCTGTGACGTCAGCAGCTCCACTGCGCTCCCTCCAGCAGCCAGTCAGAGAAGTGATGCTCTGAACGCTAGACTGCAGCATCTTTACCAGCGACACACCGAGCAGCAGATATATCTTTCTCTGTGTTCGTGCGTGTTCGTCTTCACCCACACCCCGTCCTCCCTGGGTGTCTTCAGGAGCCGAACCCCGGACCGGATAACACCAAATATCAACCTGACTTTTTCCCCCTATCGGATTTTTTCACCCCTTCTTCTGCTTTTATTCTTGCTCCACCAGCCGTTCACTCTCCTCGTTTGATTCCAGCTCTTTGTCTTTCGGTTTGTGATTTTTGTTTTTTTGTTTTATTTATTGTTCCGTGCCGCTGTGTAGCAGAGGAGCGCCACCATCCTTCGCCGCTTGACATGAGTGCGCTCTTTTATCCGGTCGCAGCGGAATGACACACAATCGTAGCCCGCATATCCCAGAGTTGATGGAAGATTGACGCTTCTGCGTTTTTAGTCGACCAGAAGATTATCCAGCTGCACTGCTTTCGGATTTTCTCTCCACTTAGAGCTGATCATCCGCTGCTTTCTGTCCCTGCGCAGCATCTCTCTCTCTCTCTCTCTCTCTCTCACTGTACGCACGGCGCACCACCGAGAAACGCGCAGCTCAGCTCTCCGTAAGAAACAGGCGTATTTTCCTATTCCTAAACCTTCTTCGCCTCAAGGTCTTGTCTGTACGGCTACGCTGCGTAAAGATAACGGAAAAGGGGGGGAATTGAACGCAAACGCAGCCCAAGCATCCAACAGCAAGCTCGAAAATGATGGCCGGCGGTGCTGTACAGCAAAACGGGATTTTTTCAAATCCTCACCATCACAGTCAGCAACCACACATGGAGTCCGACCCACCAGACTCGCGCAAAAGACCTCTGGAGACGCCGACGGAGGCTAGCAGCACCAAACGCACAAACACGGGAGGTAAGAGCACCGTTGGGGGGGAGGGTGATGATGCGGGGAGCTGGTTGGGGTCTGGGTGAATGTGGGTCCTGAGGTGTAGCGGAGAGAAAGGAGAGCAGGTTGATCTGATTCGGGGGAAGGGGTCGTACGATAGAATCCCACTTTATACACCTTACACGTACGTATGCGGTCAAATGAAAAGGGAACGCTGTATTTTTAAACTCGCTGTTTGTTGTGTTTAGCCGTTTGCGACCAGTTAGAATAATCACAGGCCTCCGCTTCTGATGGAAGGAAACAATGAGGAGGACTAGGGGGTGAGGAGGGAGGGGGAGGGGGGTATGAGAGAGGCACTCAGTTCCTTCTGCGCACATCCTGCTGCTGTGCAGATAATCCCATGTTTATTCCCTTTATTTAAAAAAAAATGAAAAAAAATAAAAAATAAAAATGGCGTTATCCTGAGGTTTACGTACAACCACAGCGGCCATGCTGGGACCAAACACAAAGATGTAAACAAGTGAGAGGCAGCTCGAGCCGCTGCGTGATTGCATGCTTTCATCCATCCAATCCGGCGACGGATGACCTTGTGATAATCTCACACAACAACCGCCATCGTCGCTTTGTGTGCAATTAGCCCAGACGGGCGGATAAACAAGCGGACGCACATGAACAGCAGCAGGCCTGAAGACGGGGAACCAGAGCTGCTCGAACACTGCGACACTCTCTCGGTGTTCAGATGTGCCTGCAGCTTCTCTCATGTTTTGCTCTCCTGCCTCTAGGAAACACAGACAGAAGAGGGGAGTTTTTAATTCCCTAAAAGTGTCAAATCATGTTTCTCCATTATTCTCCAGCTCAGTGAAATCTGGACATGTCTCCATGGCAATCACCATATTTGGTTTTTTGTTTACATGCTGTCATGCGCCAAGCATTCCCATCATCCGACATTACAACCATCAGAACCCGCTCGTGGCCATGCACCTCCATCACTGACATGTGGACACATTATATACAAGTCTGAATATTCTCCCGCCGAGGACACTGACGTTTAACGTGGAGTAGAATCCGAACTTTACACAGAACTGGTGTGTTCTCAGTATTTGTTTGGGACACAAAAATCGCGTTGCTTTAAAGACCAGGTTTAGAATAAAACAAAAGAAATAAACAAATATATTTGGAATTTTCCATAAATATTTGTAGCCCCAGAGTTAAGAAATATACAGCAGAATAACAAGAAATACAGACAAAGAGTACTAAAGTTAAAATCTGTGTTGAAACTGTAAATTCATTTGAAATAAATATTTATGAATAAGCCTCATACAAAATGCTCGATACAATAACAAGAAACAGATCCTATAAAGAATAAAACAAGTAAACAAATGTACAGCTAATTCTCCTAGCAACCTAAAACAGACATTGTGATGTTTTGTTACATCAACCGCTGGGTTAGATTCAGCCAAGAGACATACAGTATCTGAGAGTACTAAAAAAAAACGTACTTACAAAAACAACATGCAGTCGTTGTAAATATAACCAAATGTTCTTGATTAATGTCAGGCCGACAGTATATGTCTACAAAAACAAAAACAGAGCGTGTAAAAATGTAAAAACTGGTCACTGTTTCCTACAATTCGGAGGCATGTTTGTGCATATTCTTACGTTCTTAAAGTCAACCTCAGGGAATAATGAATACTTAATTAATATATATATGCAAATTTGGTGTGATTTGATTTGATTTAGAGGCAGAGATAATCAAAGAGCGCTCTCTATCAGCAGCAGGAGTGCAGGGTCATCTGATATGGAAACAGGCTTGAATTATAATTCAGCTCTCGCTGCAATTACAAATGCTGAAGACTCTATTATCTTATATTTTTTTATAGAATCTAATTTGACGACCTGGCTCTCGTTAATGAGCTGAAAAGGTTCATTTTCTCCTGCGACAGCATTTCACGCAGCCCTCAGGAACAGTAACAGACATTCCAGGGACAGAGACAGTGTCCGTCTCAGCGGCGGAGGCGAAGGTGTGAGCTGCATGTTAGACAGCGCTGTTCTCCTGCAGATCAATGCAGTGGAACCCTCTGCCCCCTCTACCACCCCCCGCCCCCCGCCCCTGTGAAAGTAAATCAGCTCATCTGTTTAGACAAATGAAAAGGTTGTGAGGATGATGAGGATGTTAAGTGCAGCTGAGCAGGCATTTACTCAGAGGAAGATCACCAGGTCAACGCTAGCAGGAAAATGGTGATGGGCTCACATCCAACACACACAAGTATCTCCAAAAAATAACATTATTAAAATAAGTCAGATTTTGTTTTGGGGTTTTTTGATTGAAAATAATAATAATAAAAAAATAATTTTGTAAATTAATTAATTGCTGGGTTTCAAAATGTTCTGTCATATGTTTGAACTCTTTATGTGATTTTCATTATGAAATGACCAAATGACCAATTAATCGTAACATGTGATATTTCACTTTAGTGATTCATACATTATTAGCAAGATGTAAAAACTGTTCAAAGTTCTGGCCATAATTCAGTACTGTTTTTGTATGAGCACTTTTTTAAAAATAAATTGCACCCAGACTGCAGTTTTGAACCAATACTGCTAAGAGATCATGATAATGGTTGTTTTTTTTTTCTGTATGATTAGTTTACACCACACACTCCCCCCACCCCTGTGCTTCCTCTCTCTGTAGTGGCCTTCCTGCAGCCCCTATTTGAAACTGAAGGCATTGTATTCCCTCACCAAGAAACTGAGACTCATGGTAAGACAGACTTGATTTTGATCTTCTACCTTTTTTCTTTCAAATATGGAATGGTCACTGTAACCTTCTGAGTCAGCAGTTATCAGAGTGTCAGGGCCTTTTGTTGGTAGGTCTTCTGACCACTGCAGGGCCTGAAACCTAACCAGAATTCCAGTGACATGTAACACCTTCATCTGCTACTCATGACTCAGAAAATGCATGTTGATATGTTCTTATAATTTCTCTTTCCTTCAGTGTCATAACATCCATTCTCATGCCTTTTATGAACAAATTCAGTGTTTATTCATTGTCACTTGCCAACATTTGTGCCTAAATGATGACCTCTGACCTCATGCTAACCATATTATCGAAACGTTTGAGTTTATCACTACTGATTCACTGCTTTGTCTGTCACTTTAACTCCACTAACAGACGTCTGTGTCCAGTTTCACATGTTTCTCTCCTACAGGTACAGTGAGGCTGAAATGTTTCAGTCCAAAACAGAGATTTTGTGCTTTTATTTTCACTTTTTGGACTTAACTGTTGCTGCAGCTTAGATCCAGATGTGAGGAGTGATGCACAATGCATGTGTTCTACCATCGCATTCGATCAGATTTGCTGCCGTACAGACACTAGATAGTACGTTGAAAAGACAAAGGAAAAGGAAAAAGGAAAAGTTGACTGTTTCCACTGACCTTTTGGTCAGGTTTTTGTTTCCAGGTTTTATCCGAGTGTGTCCGTTTGTGTGTATGGAAAACAGACAGCAGCGTCAGACAAATGAGCTGGTCAGCTGTCAGACGGTAGATGTGGAACAACAGTGCAGCGCGGCAGCCCTGCTGCTCATAAATCATATCTGTCTAATAAATAGCCAAAGGACTTAAAGACAAAAGATCAATGAGAAGCTGCTGTTCACCGACCACCCCCGACATCAGCCTCACTCCAGCCCAGCAGGCTTCTTCCCAGTATTACAGAGTGAGGATCTCTTTGGGAGCATGTAGACATTATATGATCAGAGTCATTAAACCGGCTCATTATCTAAATCTGAGTCTAAGCTGCAGCTGTTTTCAACTGAGGCAAGACATAATACTTACCAAATGAGTAAATTTGTTCTGCTGCTGGGCAATCAGGGCTCAGTGTTCTGACCGCGTGGAGTTGGCTCATCTTAACAAAGACGATACACCGGTGTATAAACCCGTTGATGGGGAGCGCTGGTTTGGACTCACTGCGTCTGAGGTATGAAGTGCTTCAATAGATTCAGGTTATCAGGGTTTGGAAGAAAGCCGCTGAGCACCAGCTGGAAAAATATCTTCAGTAACTTTACACCACAGTATCATCTGAATCTGTAAAAAACAAAAAAAAAGACTCTTTGCTCTTTAAATAATACAAATAAATCCAAATGGACTCTGTGGTGAGTTGATCCTGCCCTGAATGAACCACGGGCTTTTAAAAGCATCCACTCAGGATGTTGTTGGACGGCTGTGTAGGTCACATGACCAATTATCTTTTTCAAAATAATACTATTGGTCCTAAATCTGACCAGAATAATTTATCATTTTGTACAAGGTTTATCTGTGTTTGGTTGGTGTTTACACGGTGTTTGTACTTTATCACTTGTCTTCCTAGAGACCATCATCTAGATCAGTGTTTCCCAAACTTTTTTTCTGGGGACCCAAATTTTAGAAGTCACAAACTTTCGCGACCCAATGTCAATGTCAATAGATGTTGTTCGTAAACTCCTGGGAAACATGATGTGACCCAAAAAAAAACACTCGCGACCCAGTCTTTGGGAAACAATGATCTAGAGCTGCCATGTTTGTAGAACACATACAAATTATACAGTCTGATTTTTTTTTTTAATTCTTAAATGGCGTGATCGCCATAAGAGCTGCGATATTTAAAGCTTTCACAGCAGTTACATAGAGAGGAGACCTTTATTTATGATTGATGATGTCATTATTGTTTTTATGTATAAATACCAGCCTCGCCCTGACAAAGAAGGACGACTCTAGGATGGCCCCATTTTTTTGGGGGGGGGCAGAAATGATCCAATTAATCTACGACCAGGGGGTCCAGAAATGATCCAATTAATCTACGACCAGGGATAATTTGACAATGAAGTAGAACCTGTAGTGTGGCCCATGTAGACCATGCCCACTTAACAAAATTGGACCAAATATAGACAAACCCATATTTGTACTGTAGTATAACCCTCAACGTGCTCCGCTGCCAGGCGTTCTTTCATTAGTTGAAAGTCTGAAGTGAGGAACTGAGAAATTACAGCGAGGCCACTCCTTCTCTGCATTCATTTAGTAAATGGTTTGACTGGCAAGTCTGTTTAGGGACAAAGTAGGAGGGGCCTTGAAATGCCCTTGCCAAGCAATAATCAGGGCGACGAGCCAGTGTATCTATGTGTGTGTGTGTGTGTGTGTGTGTGTGTGTGTGTGTGTATGGAGGAGCAAAGTCGAATCTACATATTGAAGTAACGAAGGTGTGTGTGTGTTGTTGAACCGTGCTGCCGTTGCACGTACGCACATCTGACATGTGCACACATGCATGCTGGGTATTGAGCTGTTGCTTTGAAGTTATTGATCTTGACTGGGGTGTAGAATCTTTTTGTTGGGACCTTTGTCATCGACTGGCCGTCCAGCTGAGGCAGCGAGAGCCTCGTGTTTAGCTGTAATGAGTGAAACAGGACCACCACGGAGGACAACATGACAAAGAGTTGGTTTACTGTCAAAAATATTTGTTTTTTTGGTACGCCGAGTTCCCTTCCTCAGCCTATCGTCGACTGCGTCGTCGTGCTCTGCGACATGCTCGTTCTTTTTACCCATGAGCCAGAGCTTTGCTTGGCCGCTCCCTTTCCTCCCTCCCTCTTCCATTCTCTCCACATCTTCGTCTTCTTCCTCCTCGCCCATACTAATCATGTTCTACTTCAGTCCATCACGACTTCCCCCTCTCCCTTTTGTCCTTCTCACCCTCATCCTCCCATCTTGTCTCCCCCCACCCAATCCTCTTCATCATTCGTGTTGTCATTGGCGACGTTCCCTCGAAAAAAACCTTTTTTTCTCGAGGATGTCGATCGATTTCAGCCACAGTCGGTGGGAGTCTGCCAACAGAAGCTTTGACTCTAATTCTCATCCTCCCCCCTCCGTACCTCTTTTTTTAATCCACTGCGTCAAAGTAAAAAAAAAAAAATGAACCCCCTTGTGGAGGGTGGGGTGAAGGCTTGAAGAGGTGGGTATATTCCCACAAAAGGAAGCCCGCGATTGGTGAAGTTCGACGCCCGTCACCGCCAGCTGGTCCGTGATAGGTGAAGAGAGCAGTGTGGTGATGAATATGGATGAGAGATTGATGAAAGGGCCGATGCAACGAGGGCGAGTGGACGGGCCCCCTCCTCTGAAATAGCCTTGGTCCATAAACAATACACACTGGTGTGTACACATGCGCTCGCACAGAAACAGACGATACACACTGCAGGGAGAGAACGGAGACGACCGCTGTCGTTCTCATTGTTAGCCTAGCCGTCGTGCCTGCGTTAGCGTTTACACTTACATGGGTTGGGCGTGATTCTGTGTACGATCACAGTTGAACGGCTGACGTTAAACTTTTATTGTGCTGCAAAATTTTTTATACGCTTTTTGTCAGATTCTTTTGTTAAGTTTTGAAACAGAATGTCTCCCATGACGTCTTTGATGCATTTTTTAAACCGCCTGGGCCTCGGTGATTCTCCTGTGGTTTGGATGAAAGATTTATTAACATTTAAATTTTAACGTTGCATTTTTAACAAAGGGAAAAAAATAAATTATATAAATATAAAAAATAATTAAATTAATTAAATTCTATATTTAAAACCAGAGCATAAAATGCTTGTATGAAATTAATGTAAATCCTTCAGGTCGAAAGAGTAGAAAGAAAATATTTAATACAAATTGACATTTAATTTTTTTTATTTTTCGTTGGCCAACTCTAGTTTTATCTGATACTATGACTTATCTTGTTATTTTTGCTTCATTTGAGAGGGTCGTGGCGTCATTTAAGTCATGTGATCAGGAGAGTGGCGCCCCCTGTGCACGTGGATGGTCACCAGCTGAAATGTCAGGTCTAAATTGAATGAATTACACAAGGGAAAAGGTGAAACGTCCACACATGAAGCCACGCTGAGAAGATAAACGATAAAGAAGGCCAGCGCTCTGTTTCTGACTGACGATGTCATCTTTCAGACCAAGACAGCTGCTCAGAGTCCAGCCGCAGCTCCCAGTGTGTGTGTGTGTGTGTGTGTGTGTGTGTGAGAATACCACCCCTCAACAAAAGAGCAGAGGATTGGAGGGGGTGTGCTGGACAAAGCCTGCCACCTCCCACCCTCCATCCGCCCCTTTAACTCTCTCTACTTAGGGGAGATGAATATTTTCCAAGGTCCCAGAGCTCCATACCAAAGCCCCCTCCTCCCCCACTGCTCCCTCCCCCTCTCCTCCCCCCTTCACCAGTTGAGGTTATGTTCACACTGCTGGGGTTCTCTCATGTTTGTTCTTTGTACAAGCGAGAGTCATTTATGTCATGTAACCAGCCGCAGTATAAGTCAACAGCTAGGAGACGGTTATAAAACGTCCTCTTTTGTTTTTGTTATATTTGAGATTCTCACTTTAATAAAATTTCACTTGGAGATGAATAAATATTTATATTATATTCTTGACATTTACTGTCGTCATAACAAAACAAACTTTTAGTCCATTAGTCCATTACGATTTACAATTTGTTTTTAATAATTTTACCTTTCATATGCAGTCGCTGCATTGATGAATAGTCAGTAGTTAAACACTGACCCTACAGGTTTACTGATAATCAGTGACCGTGGAGAGCGCTCTAACTACAGACGTGTTGGACGGTAAGAATGGACCGTTAATGACTTACGAGTGTTATAAACAAATCAGTCCAAAAAGGCAACACCCGGGCGTCTGTACGTGACGCAAAACCACCAGAACATGAGACGGGATGTGTGCTCGCTCTTCAACCCGGCTCACCCC